GGCTCCTTCTTCCACTCTGCCCTCCTCAGAGGTCAGGACCCTGGCCACTCTGTGCATACACTTCTCATACCACATTTAGGACGCGAATGTCACCTACCAGCTGAGAACTCCCAGGTCCGTGCCTCGCAGGAGATCCCTGCTACAGAGCCACTGCCTCCTGGTCATGGCCATGCACAGCACACACTCTGCCCCTATGCCCCATTTTGTTCATCTCATGCACAGTACCCAGTAGCTGAGCCAGACACCAGGGCCAGGACTGCACTCATCTTCCTTATGGACCCTGTAACAGCTGCCCAGCTGGTCTCCTTCCCTTGCAACCCCACACTATTGCCAACTTGACAGTTCTAAGTAAGACACACTGCCTTAAAATCCTACAATGGCTCCCTACCACCTCCAGAGAATCGTCTAAATGCCTCAGCACTGCAAATACCCCAGGGTCTGGCCACAGACCTGCACAGTCTCTTTCTCAAAGGCAGACCCACCAGTTCCTATGTGGGCCTTGAATTTCCATGCCCTGCCCCCTCTGGTGAGGCACACACTGTCTGGCCCATCTCAGCTGCCGCTTTTCCCAGAAGTCACCTTTCTACCCTAGCCGGCCCCTCCTCTGACCCCCACACACCACAAGCATGCCCTGACAGAGAACTTCAGACCCGTGCCACAACCACAGTGGATGAGGTGCACCCGGGGGACGGCTGCTTGTCCCAGCTTCCAGGGAGCTTCACTCAAGGTCACAAGACCTCCAGGGATACCCATGTCCAGTGAATGACTGGACAGAGGGCAGAAAGGCTGGCAAGGTCCACTCTGAAAAGCTGCCCGGCTCAGTGCCCCTGGGACCCGGCAGCAGCTGTGGGGCTGGCTTCACAGCTCACCTCATCCAGGTCTGGCCACTCCCCCTTTTCCAGCATTGATCCCAAGGGATGGCTTTACAAACTTTATTTGTATAGAACTTCCACCAAACTTCATTCCCCTGATGCCAGGGAGCCCACCTGCAGTGACTGCTGTCTTCACATGTCTGCATCCTCACCAGAGTCTAAAGGGAAAGAATGCCGGGCTCTGGCACCACAAAGCCTGGCACACAGAGTGCTCACAGCAAGGCCAGATGACCGCGCATAGGTCTAGGGGAGGCAGTGCTGGGGGTTTTGGGGGAAACCTGACTTTAGCTATATCAGACACCTTCCTTCCAAGACGGCAAGTACACTACAGGACATTTTGGTTAAAAATTAAATGCAATGCATCTCATGAAGTGGTAAGGGCCACAGCAGAGGTAAGAACAGAGTTCTTACAGAAACCCGATGAGGGAGTCAGGCGTCTGCCACTGGCCCAGAGACCACCTGTGCCCAGCTCTGCAGTCTACTTACTGTGTGAGTTTTTAAACATGACTGATTCCCCATCATAATTATATTTAAATCCACTGAAGGTGATTCACAATTTCAAAGCATGTACAAGTTCACTGACACACCCATAGTTTTGTCTGATGATGAGGAATCAGGCTATTAACCAATGTTACTTCAGGAATAAATCACATGCTGATAGCCCCTCACTGCAGTAACTGTCAAAAAAAGATATCTTCAGGAAATAAATTACCAAGGAACATATAAATTATATTTGTACATTTAATAAGAATTTTTATGACATATAAAGTCATATGAATAAAAGTAGAAATCTAAATTTCTGAATAATATTGTCATATCAACNCCTCTTGCAGTTCCGACCATGCGTCTGCTGTGCATGCAGTGGCCCAATGTCACCTCCCTCCATGAGAACACTTCCCCTTTCCCAGCATTGATCCCAAGGGATCACCTTACAAACTTTATTTGTACAGAACTTCCACCAAACTTTATTCCCCTGATGCCAGGGAGCCCACCTGCAGTGACTGCTGCAGAAACCAGAAATAAATGCCTCCCTTCCCCAACACAAGTTGAACCCAAATCCAATTATAGTTGCCTGGAATCACTTTTCACTGCTTAATTGTCTGTGTTAGAAAATAATATCAAAATGTAGATGAATAAATATAATTCCCTCCCACAAGCAGGAGAGGTTTTGTATTTGCTGTAGGATAAGAATAAAGAATTTTCAGTTCAGAGCCTCATAGGACAAGGACTGGTGCAATCTGGGTCAAGAAGCCCCCACAGGTTTAGATTTATAAAAGAAGGGCAGCACACTGAGCAAAAAAGTCAGCATTTGACAAAATGCCAAGTGCCCGGCAGACACTCTGCCATCAGCGCCCACTGGTGGTCCTGTGCACATCAACAGCACACTGGCCCCAACGCCTGCCCGCTCTCCTGCAGACGCACACAGAGGCTCTGGCTCCTCAGCCCACCATTGCCCGCCTTGTCACAGCCACAGAGCTGCAATTCCTTCCTGGAACGTCCCAAAGTGCCATGCCACACCTCGGCCATCCCCTGGCCTTGCCACCTTTGTTTAGTCCCAACATTGTCCTCTTGTGTTGGAACTACTGGAAATTTATATATACTGAAACCCCAATCCTGGGAAAGGTACTACCTAGAACCTTGGAATAGTTGGATTAAAAGTATGTAAATAAATTCAACTTCCAGTTGGAAAGGGTGCTGTAATCATATATCACAGACTCAGTTCTGAATCTTGCTACCTGTCAGTTATAACTGATGCAAATGTGCAATGTTGCTGTTCTATTTGGCAACATCCCCACTTTCCAGCTCACTGGAGGAACGCCAGTGCTCAAAGTCTCCCCCAAAGGCTACCCTTCCCACCCTGGGATGGCCTCCTTGCCCTGGCACTCGGCTGGACAAGCACTTCTGATCCAGCAATGACATCAGCAATGGCTATGGTTGGCACACCACCCTCCCCATGAGATCACTGTCTCACAGTACAGCCCCAGCACCCACTCACTGTGGCCCCCTGGCAGCCAGGGAGGGACCAACAGTTCAGAGGACAGACAGCAGCTGGCTGGCTCTGACCATGAGGAGTCCTCCAGCGGGATGCTGATCCGACATTCATGAGACACAGCTTGGAACCACCCAGCCTCTCCTGCAGGTATTTGATGCCCAGAGATTTTCCACACTGCTTGCTGGTATGAATGTCATTCCCTCTTTTCCCAAAAGCAAAATGGAGACATGGTCAGTGTTTGGGAATTTTCATAGAGCAACATTTAACAGTGAAACACACATTGCTCTACAGCATCCTTCACATGACTTCCCACATACACTACAAAGCATTTTCATGCAAAATAATTTCATCTGCACAGGCAGACTGTGAACTGCAGCAGACACTCTACCACCTTATTACCAACCATAGTTCTGAAAAGGTGCCGGGTCATGGCACAAGTGGGCAGCACGGCCAGCTCAGGCTGCGCCCTCCTCCAGGCTGTGACCCCCCTGGGAGCCAGGCACAGGCCTAGGGAAGTGGCTCAGCTCCAAACCTGCCTGGGAGTATGGCTCACAGTCCACGCCAAGGAAGGGCAGAGCACCTGGGCCCCCCCCGTCACTGCCTCCCACAGACACACGCAGCACGAAGGTCTCATCATAAGCAGAGGATGCTCTACGAAGGGGACACTGAGAAAAACAGTTACTCAACCTCAATAAATTTACCAGTGAGACCAGTGAGATGATTAGGCCTTGGCATTATCAGAGCCCAAGTCAGGTCCCAGCAATGCCTCAGTGGAAGGTGAAGCACAAGCCCCGCTGAATAAAGACGCTTCTCTGATGTTGAGAAGTCAGGAACAAAAAAAAAGATTTTTGCCGGATCTTCCCAGGGCACAGTCAACAATTCAGGAGGAAGGGGGCTTGTCATGGGACAGTGAGTGGTCAGGGCTGGTGAGGTGTCAGGAAGTCAGGGGCCCTAGACCACACAACAGCACAGACCGGGGAGGTCCATGAGGCATGAGAGCAGCAGGCCCGTGCAGAGGACCGCGTCACATCTGCCCTGCCACAGGGCTGCCCGCGCTGGTCTCAGACCCCTTCCAGAGTCACCACAAAGGTGGCAACGTACCAAAAGCAAAGGGCAGGGAGCAGATGCACCTCCCCCAGGGACCCAGACCCCAGAGTGTGCACACACACGAGGGTGGGGTTCTGGGCCCTGGAGAGCCTGCGGGAAAGGCAAGGGGCTAGCACTATGCTTACATGCACCCCACAGAGCAGAAATCACAGCGTGAAGAGCCCTCCCTGCCCCTGACTGAATCATCCCATCAGCAGCACGTCACTGACTCACTCTGGGCTCCCGCTCCATGTAGATAAGGTTGTACATAACTTCATTTTACTTTTTAAAGTGGTTATTTGTATCTTTAATCTCCATTCATTTTAGGAAACTCTGACTAAAATTAATATTTTCACCTTAATAGTTACCTAAATCACTTATTGAACCTGTAATATCTGGCTTTGATAATTCAAGCACCACCTGAGAACAGAATATTGGAAATGGGTATTAACACCCTGCAAATATCAGACAATCTGAGCACAGCACGGGCTCATGCAGACAGCTTGCTGCGTCAGGCACTGGCTGTAACTGCCCCACAGGAAGGATGTTCACTTCAGCACTAGTGGCTCAGAGGCCATGACTCTTCCTCCCGCCCCTGCCCGTTTCCCTTCTCTGGGTGGCTGGTTCGGGCCAGCGCCTCAGCACACCCTCCAGCCGCCTCCTGGCCCTGTCATCCAGCTGAACGAACCTCTGGGAGCTCCGGGAGGTTTCCTGGCAATCCAGCCATGCTGTGATCTCCCCACAGACAGCAGGTGCTCACCGCACCTCACACGACTCAAGCCAGCAGGTGGGGAGCCTGTGCATAAGGTGCCCGAGCAAGCCATACTCACCCACATGTTGAAAATCCCGCTTTCATCCAAGGAGGTGATGTGGAACGACAACCCCGACATTTCTAACAGAAACAGAGACAAGAAGTGGCTCGTGAACAATGATGGCACGTCCTAGCTGCTGACCGGGGGCTTTGCAGAACTGGAGGGCCAAGTACCCTCCTGAGTAGAAACGGGTGAGAGCACCAAACTCTGCTTCTTAAGGGCGTCTGTGGAGATGGGCTCCATGGCCTGAAGAGCGCTGCAGCTGCTGGCTGGAGTGAGGGTCCCATCTAGGGGTCAGAGCACACGGTGCTGCCAGTGAGGACGCAGGCCCTCCTGCAGGCGCCATTCATGGGCACCAGCCACCAGGACTGGACCGGAGGGTGGGCAAATGCAGTACACACGGTGGGTACTGCCCAGCCGGGAGGGGGCCACTGACATGCACAGCACACCAGGTGGCAAACACACGATGTGGGAGGGGAGAAGCCAGGCTCAAAGGTCTGCGTTCTGTGTGATTCTGTTTATTGCACAACTGGAAAAGGTAAAACTATATAGAGAGAAAACTGTCAGTGTGGGTGGAAATGAAAGACACAGAACCAAGTGTGGGTGGGGTGGGGGCATTGTGGGAACACAGAGACAGACAGTGAGGGCGCCAGGGTCTGAGCTCAGGCCCCACCCCCACGTCAGAGCGACGAGGATGTGGGTGTGAGCGGCTGGGATACAGGCCGGGACTGGCATCACTGGACAGTGTCTGTGGAACACAGAGGGAGCATATGGCAGCCGGCCTTCAGCTGGCATAGACCGAGTCATCCATCGAGGGTGTGGAAGCCTTGCACTGAATTAGGAACATTGCAGCTGCGGGTGGCCACTGCCACGCATGACCCAGATGGATCTTTGTTTTTCTATTTATCAAATGTCTCTTTTTTCCTCTGAGGTCAGACCCCATCCCCTGGGGTAATCTGAACAAAAAATGTAAAGAAATTTCAGATGCTCATCAAACCTGCCGTGGCTTTCCTGGAGGACACTGACCAGTGGAGAATGTCGGCATCCTGAATGTCCAGAAGCAGTTGCTCAGCTTCACATACCAATGTATCTGGGAGTCTTCCTTTAGTCCCACACGACCACTGAGCCACGGGCTATTCCAGCAAACAGCAAAAAGGCCTTAAAAGGACTAAAGCAACAGCATGTGACCTAGGAAGGCACATAGCAAGCTCGAGACGGGAACACCCGGCTCCGGCCTCCCTGTGTCCCTTGGGCCCCTGGGACCCTCCCAACCGGGGCTGTGGGACTCAGCAAGCAGGAGGCATACTGAGGTGCTTTGCAAACAGCCTGGTGCTCGGTGTGCCACACCCCCCATTACCTCAATTAGCCGAGACCAGGACAGAAAAGCATTTCTTTGTCATTTTATTTACATCTGCTATTGCAAAAAGTTACTATTTTCAAATCCCAAAAACTGACACCTGAAAGTTATGACCCAACAGCTGCGGAGAATTAATGATTCTGATGTCAAGGAGCACACGATTTGGAAAATCACAGCGTGCATTTTCCCAACCCCAAAGAAAGCAGCCAGCCCCACTGGCCCCATTAACCCGGGCCTGCAGTGCACAGGACCGAAGACTGGAAACCCCAAGCATACTAAGAAGCCTCTAAAATGTCCGTGATCCACACGGTGCGAACAAAAAGGCATATTCCCACAGCCACGCCCAGTGGCCTGTGCTGTTGAGACCTGAAGTCACATGGTACTGGTTCCCAATGGACCCACAAGGCTGCAATGACCCTGGATTTCCTCAGTCTGAATGGGTCCTTTGAGCTAAGAATTTGTAGAGATGAAACAGACACACACACATGTCTTGTCACACCTGCTCATAGCTGAGAGTATGCCTGATAAGTTCCTGTTCTGCGTCACTGTCCCCTCTTGGCTCACGGTGCGTGCCCCTGCACTGGCCCTCGTGCTGCACGCCCTTCCTTTCGCTAAGGCTGTGACTCCTGGAGACATACCTCTGACTCATATCAGGACCTTCTGAGGCCCCAAAGGCTACCAGATATCCCACACGCAGAGCACATATCTGCCATCCAGCGCAGGGTTGAAGGCCTTCCCAGGCTGACCATGGACAGACACCACTATCTGTCTCTGCACCTGAGAGGCATGCAGAAGAGACACTTCTCAATCTAGGAATAAAGGGAGAATGATATTTCTGCATTGTAGTGATCTGCCAGAATCCATGTTAAATTAACACACTTGAGAACATTCAAGTAAATCTCAGCTTACTGAAGCAGCAAACATGGTCTTTTCACAGCTGCACACATACAAGGCGTGGGTTTTGAAAATGGCCACAGCTCTGCCTGAACATTGTCCGAGTCAGCCACATGGTTTTGCAGAAAAGCAACCCTTCAAATCTGGATGACACGCCTTCTCCCTCACCTACTAGCCACTCTGCTAGACCAGGCTGCCCAAATGTGCTCTGGAGTTGCCCCTACGCACCTGGCCAGGACCCCTCCGGTCCCGGTGGTCTTCCTGCAGCGAGGCCTTCTCCATCAGGGGTGGCAACTACTTCCCACTTTGTTTTTCTCTTTAGAACACTCCCTTCTGCCATTTCACTTGTTCAGTAGTTTTTAGCCAATTTGACCCACCAGGAGGGCAGGATTTGTCTGTCTGTCTGCCCACAGCTGAATCCCAGCAGTGCCTGGGATGCTGTGGACACTCACTGAGTCATCATCAGATGAATGAATGAAGGAGCAGGAGCAGGCTGCCTCAGGGGTGTGCCCGGCTGTGTGCATCCTGGAAGCGGTGATGGTGTGGAGGAGGCCTATGGAGGCTGGCGTGTGGTCCTCCTGAAATGGAGCCGGGTGTGTGTGGCAAGCCCAGGCCACAGGGGAGATGAGCTGCTCACTCTCAGACACCTGTCATCCCAACCTCATTTTCCTTCTATTACCTCAAATTCATTTCACTAGAACATAAAAACGAGTACGAAAACCTGTGCTCTTCACCTCCAGAACTCAGACCCACTGCACAAGGGCTGAGCATGTGAGAGCACACGTGCGGGACATCCCCCGCTCCGTGCAGCCCGCACAGCCACGGGCACACACCAGCTCCCACAAAAGCACTCTATTACTCCCCGTGTCTTGGCGTGAGGAGGGCGGTAGGAGTGTGACTGTCCATGTTTTGAATGCTACAGATACAATGATTGACTATTTTTCTAGTAGGATAACTCTTATCTCTTAAAAACAAAAATACAAAGAACATGAGGTTTTTTTAAGTTAATGATACCATTTTTGTCACTGTCAAATGCAGAGGAACATACGTGAATCTAACGACCTCTGAGCAGTAGGCAGGACAGAGCAAACCCTAGGTCGCACGGGTGCCCTGGCTTCCGCAGGCCCAGGAACAGCTGGCGGAGGGCAGGTTCACTGTGTGCCTCCCCCAACAGACAGGACCCCAGCTGCACCCACTGCCTCACCAGCTACTTTTTTAAAAGGCAAATTGGCGACCAGCTTAAGAAATTTAAATTTGGTCATGCAAATGCTGTTTGTTTAAACTAACAAATGGTGACCTGCAGCTACACCTCTATTCGGTGCTGTGGGCTTCCCGGGGTGAGCAGTCCTGTTCTGTGACCAGGGTGAAGTCTGAGGGAGAAGCCACAGGGCGTTGCTGAGCCTGTCACACTGCAGCTCAAGTAGGAACGCCACTCTCAGAGCCACTCTCACATTTCCCTATTCCAAGAAATAAAGAAACTGAACAGGCCTGAAAAAAGGATTTAGAACACACCAAACCTCAGGGTCCATTCGCCTAAGTTCCTGTGTCCCTCTGCTCATTATCTCATGAGAGTTCATGATTCTAACAGACACACTAAGGAAACCTCACCCTGCACCCCAGAGCCCCACAGAGGTAGGATCTCCATTCCACATTAAATAAACCCTCCTCACTAACACGGGATGTCATATTAAAGATTATGCTTCCCACATGAACGTCTAGTGGTGGATTCAAGACGCACTGGGCCAGCTCCTTTGGAGGAATGGCAGGCTAGTGTCCAGATGCAAGGCGCTGTCGCTGAGAGGCCACACACTGCCCTGCGCCCCGGGGCTCCAGTGGGGCTCAGCCAACACATGGTCTTCTCCCAGCAGAACTGCAATCACCTTTCAAAGACAATCGTGTCCTTAATAAACACACTCAAGCATACTTTTACAAGAAAAACACATACAAATTACCTATTCACCTTCCCCATGTATGAAAGTAACTGCTTAACTCCAAGACATCATAAAAATAACTGAATGCACTCTTATTGTTCTTGCACAAGGGCAGACACAGGTAAACCTCCACCAGTGGGAACTCCATGGGACAGCCAGAGTGTACATCAGAAGGTGTTTTCCTAGCAAATACAGAGGAAGAGCAAAACGGCTGCCGCCCAGCTCTCCTGAACGAGTAAGGGTGTAGACAACATTGTGCACACTCCATACTGTGGGGACCCAGGATGAACAGGGTCTCTGTAACTGCTCTAACAGGTGTAGGATGCTGATGGGCAGGGGCAGACTTGGTGGGGGTGCTGTCATCTGGGTCCTGACGGGACGGGCGTGGAGGATGGGCTGCAGAAGCTAGCGGAGAGCCGTGCGGTCCAAGTCAGCCCCAACCTGGCTCTGTGTCCACACTCCACTCCCACCGCAGACAGCTCTCCTCCTCCCGACCCTGACCCAAAGGCTCTCCTCTTCGTGCCCCCTGAACTTATGGTGAAAGAAAAGCTGGCTGGATTTCAAATTACATGATCGCATTTCGTGAAGCACAGACTCTCTAACATGGTACAGAGAGGGTGTAAGCACCGGGTGTCCAGAATAGACAGAAACGGGCTCATTCCACATTTACTGTACTTACTGTAGCTTTTTTATTTAAATTCTGAGCCAATATAAAAAACACACAGTCAGCTGAGGAGACCTGGTGATATTAAGAAACACCAGCAGGGCTGAGGTAGCCATGGAGACGATGGTGTGGTGACCACAACTTGTTCTGAGTAACTGAGGGGGTGGGGGAGTTGAGGCTTAGATGAGACAGGTTGGCTGTGAGCCAGCAGCTGCTGAAGCCCATGGGTGCAGCCTGCTGTTCCCTTTGCAAGCATTTTGAAAATTTCTATAATCAGTTTAAAAGACATGGGTGTCAAATACCCTAGAGGTGTACATGCCTTGCCAACTTAATACACCTGCTTTTCAGTCTGCATTTATTTTGACATGTGTGTGGCTGGCATGAAGTCAGACTAAGCCCACAGGCAGCTGCTGTGACATGCATCAGTGGGTCACCTGCACACAGGGCTTCATGACTGTGGAGACACAGAGCATGTGGTACCTGGCAAGCTGCCCAGAGGAATCTGGACAGCCTTGGTATGTCGACCTTGGGTGCAGCCACAGTGCCAGAGATAGCACCATCCTCAGCCCCTAGAAAACCAATGTGTCCCTAAAGGAGTCTGCCTCACATGCCTTCGAGTCCAAAGAGGCATTACAAATGGGCCCTGGAAGGAAAAGTCAGAGAAGTTTACACTTATACCCGAGATCTGCTAGTGATTTTTTCAAAAACAATTGAGTCTTGTTTTATAGAAAGTCTGTACATGGAATTTCCCTGAAACACCAAGAACAATAGTTAGAGGTGCCAATTCAATTGTTATGCAAGCATGAGGTATGCTATTCTCACAGATTGAGCCTCTGTGAGGAAGGGGAGCAAGGGGACCCCTGCCCACATATACCCCCAGAGCAGACCACCCACCAGCACTCATGCAGCTCCAGGGACCCAGTGTTGAATACATGTGCTGTGGGCCTCATGCCTATACCATGAACATGTCTGGACACTTAGGTATGAAACACATCTGGCCCTTAAATATGAAAACTCCACTGAGCAGAACAGCCTGCCCCCAGGGTGGAAGCAGAGCAGCACAGCCCATCTGTGCAAGCCCACCAGGACATGGGTGTGCCCCTCACGTCAGGGGTGAAAGCGCCATGAACCCTGCTCAGGGCCCAGCTGAGCCTCCAGTGCAGCACCCAAGTCAGCAGCTTGCAGAAGCGGGTTCGCTCCTCCATGCCACATGCTGACAACCACCCCCAGTGAAAGATCTAAGGAAGAACAAGAAAGGTGACCCCAGAAACCACCAGACTCCACTCCCATTGGCCCAGAGCACAGAGCTATTTACCCCCAGACACAGCAGCGCCTTCTCCCGGATGCTGGGTCCACACCTTCCGGGCCTCGACCTCTTCGGTCTGAATGTTTCTCAACATTATCTTCATTACACTGAACATACACCTTGAAAACAAAGGTACGCTGGACTTAGCAGTGGGTCACACCGCCAGAGCCATCTCTCATCATGGAAAAGAAAATGATCTTGACTTTAAAGTTGGCAGCACAGCCTCAGGCCTCTGCCAAGTGGACATGCTGTGGCATGAGTGACAGTCACGGGAACATGGCCTGTGCCACAGATGTCGATGTGAACAGTTCTCGTTTTCAAGGTGCTTTCAAAGTGGCACACCAAGCGATTTAGCTTTGGTTTGAAAATCCCGCCACCCTGTCTGCCTTCATCCTATTCTCTTGAACATTCTGGCTTTGCAAAACCAGTTGCAATTTTATTTAAAAAAGGAAGATACTTCAATAAAGAGTTTTGTTACTAATAGCTTTGAAATGAGGAAACAAGCAAAGAAGTCACACCATCTACTCAAGGTCAGAGTGAGCCGGCTGCAAAACAAGGGTTCGTCTGTTGGCTTTTTCATCCTGTGACCTTCCCACCGAGTGTGCCCAGAGAGCAAGCTGGTTGATGGCACTATCAGGAGCATGAGGAGGAGGTGAGGGAGGAACTCTCACTTCAAACTTTCACAGCCTGATTGGAAGGTGGACCACTACCCAATCAGTGACTGGAAATACCACAGAGAAGCACAAAATTCTGGGGGATGGATCAGAGCAACTCTGGACTAGGAGAATTCAGTGAAGGTCACTAGGGAACGACTCACCTGGAGCACAGGCCATGGACACTGAGGAATAGACAGGCGGGGTGCCTGTGGACACCGGGTTGCCTCTCTCGGCTAACAAGCACCAGTGAGGAAGGGGACCCTTTCCCAAGGCGACACCCTCTGCGCCACTCCCGAGCCCCAGGAGTCCTGCACAGGATGACAGATTGCATGAGTTCACCTTATTGTACTTCGTTTGCTTTTCTGTCACTTACTCAGCACACCTCGTACTGACTGCTCAGTATTCTTTTTCCCAAAGTTTCTGATGTACATGTTATATTCGTTTACTGGCAGCAAGTCCAAGAGAGAGAAAGTGACAGAGAAGTCTAAGTCAATGAGCCGAAGCAGTTTCAGACTGCGCGTCCTTCAAAGCAAATCAAAAACAAGAAGCTGTTAAACTGAAGATATACAAAGGGACATCTGGGGAGAGGGTAGGGCATTGTGACTAGACGTCTGTGACTGCCAAGGCCCACCTTCGTCAGGTGAGCCTGAGGTATCAAATAAAGATAAGATGGCCATACATGGACCAATGATGTGAGTAAACACAAGCCAAACAATTAGTTATCCTAATTCAGTGCCCCTGAGGTTAACACAGACTGGAGTTGCTGTGTGTGCCATTCTCAGGGAAAGCGATTCCCTGCATGCCATGTGACGGCCTCCATCGACGCCCTGACACTGGCACCCTGGGGTCAGTCTGGCTTTCCCTGTCACCCTCACCCAGCCCCACACAGCTCTGTAGGCCAGGGAGCTTTATTTCTTTCACTTACTGTGACTTCCACACTGTCAATGCTCAATCGACATGGCTGAACGAGGGGAGAAATGGCCCCCAGTACCAGGGGGGCCCCATTACTTGGCTTGCCACTCCTCCCTTCTCCACCCCTCAGGGTCTTCACCACTACCTTCCCTGCTGCCGCCTTTCTCTCTGCCCACCATCACCATCTTCCCCGCCCCCTGCCTCCAGTCTTCCATCGTCACTGGGATTTCTGACCTGAAGTGACTCATGCAGAGACTCCACATCACAGGTCCTCACACAGTGACTGTCCGAGGTGCTGAGGCCCAGAACCAGAGAACTCCACACTACCCAGGCCCACGAGGGGCCCCCTTACTCCCCAGAACCCCCTGCCAAGCTCTACATGGAATTTAGTGGCTAACTTATTCTTGATTTTTAAAATATCATTTCATGTCGTATTTACATCTGCCTGAGGAATTCACGGTGTAAACTCTGATTGTTTCCAGGTAAACAGTATGTAGTTTCTAAAACTTGAATAAGGTTAAAAAATATGTAGCCATACAGGCAGGAAGAGGAGGCCCAAAATATAATAAAAACACTATAAGACCTCATATTCTTATTATTAATGATTTATTTGTTCATTTGGCAAAACTTGCTGAGTACTTACTAATGCCAAGTAGTGAGCTAGACGGTATGATGGATTTTTAAACCCTCTTCAAAAATGAATGTTTAATTTTCATATTTACTCCTAAATACTACTTGGATTAAATATGTATATGGTGGACCCTTGACTTAAGACCATGTCCTCTGACTTACAAATTTCCAAAATTTTCCATTTCCAAATTTAGAGTAATTAATTATCAGCTCGGATGCCTGGTGGCCCTGGGTTCAGAAATCAGCTCCGCCGTTCCCCAGAGGCTGGCCTGAGCCCGCCTCCCTCACCTAGACACCAGGGTGGAAGGACCACAGGAGGCCCGCGGCCCATGGGAGGCAGGGCGCCCGGCACAGGCAGGGCGAGCACACGGTGCACGACCCAGGAATGCTCGCAGCCACTTGCCCTCCCCAGCCCCTCATCTGAGAATCATGCAGCAGCGCTCGGCTGTGAGTGACCTGAGGGTGGCCGGAGCTGAGCCTGGTGGAGCGACACACGGGGATGCCTGTGCAGTCCGGACACCAGCTCTGGCTGTGGTGACTGCACAGCGCCTCCCAGGGGCACGTCGGTTGGAGCACAGCCCCCACCCAGCTTCCCAGCCCAGAGGAACACAGCGCAAGGTAAAGCGCCTGTGCATCTCAACAGCCAGTCACAAATGAGTGAAAAGCCCTGGTTTTTAAACTACATTGAAGAAAAGCACATTAAAACACCACGGTGCTTTACACAAATTTCCCAATATACCTACTTTTGCTTCAGGGCCTGAGTCCGACTCTTTCGACTGTGCGAGGCTGTTGCAAAATCCACAAAAATTCCACAAACAGGGTCTCTGGAAGGGGAACTGTTTGCATCTGTACAGATAAAAAGCTTTTTGGGAAACTGAAAAATTTCTTTCAACAATCAAAACAAATCAAGAGTAAAACAATTAGAAGCATGTATGATAATCTCAGTAAGGCCTTTGCACACAACTAGACAGCCACGAGCACATAACAGGCCTGCTTCTGCCAATTTCATCCAAAACTTTGAGGCAACAAAACCAAATTTGCTGTGTGAGTCAATCACATGATTAAGAGTTTTAGAAATATTTAATAATTCCCACCCCCGTCTCCCCATCCAGCCCCTACCTCTAGTAAGGGAATCAGGACATGAATACACAAAATAGCTGAAAAACAAAAGCAGATGTGAGTTTGTACTGAATCAGCCATTTCCGTCACAGACAGAAAACAGGAGAGCAGGCATGGGTTCTTCCAAAGACTTTGTCATGGGCAGGGGGCGAGCTGGGTGGGGGAGAAGCCATGGGACTGGCTCCCGAGGCTCCCGCTACGTGAACAGCTCCACCCAGCACCCTCGGTGGCCAGGACCCCCTCGGCTCCTCCTATTTCTGCAGATGTCTCTAGTTCCCCAAATGGCTTTACCCCATCTTTGTGTATTTATTCCAATTGCATCTTAATCTGCCTTCTCATTCTTCAGATATGTGTTTGGACTCTTCAGAGGAGCATGAGCAGTTCAATCAAATCCACGGGGCAAGCAGCCAGAAGGGCAGCCCGATCTGGGCTGGAAGACCTGAGCTCAAGCCCAGCTGTCCCTGTTAACTTGCTCTGTGGCTGTAAGCAAGAGGCTCACCTGTGCCTGCACGTTCTCACCTGTCAGGACATCTACACAGGACCAAGATGAGGGCCAAGGCAGGCTGTGCTCACGGTGAGTCCTGCCAAGTGTGAGGCACCATGTGAACACTAAGAAAACTGCTGACCACTGTTTCTGCTTTAGAAGTAAGGAAACTGGCCCATATGCGAAGTCACAAGGATTAGGATTAGAACGGAGGTGCCCGTGGAGTAGGACCCACATGCACCAGCTGTCAGCACTCAGGCTTACCTTCTGGAGGTGTACAGACTCTAAATACCACGGCATGACTTAGCACCCTGGGAAGTTCCTGACCCCTGGCTTCCTAGGCCCTAAAGGAGGATAGGGTGCAACTTTAACCAACAGGTCAACCACCACAGAGGGCTGCAGGGTGTGGGCTACACAGGGTGTAGACAAGGAGCACTCTATCACCTACTAGGCCATGGCGGTGAACAACACTAGCAGTTAACATGTCATGCTCAGTGTGCGCCTGACCCTGCATGCCCCATGGTCATGGCCCTGAAGACCCTCTCCCTGTCTGTACATGAGGGACCAGAACCAGCACCCTCCAGCACCACCCCACTGCCTCCCATGGCAGGTGGCACCCGAGCTGGCTCCACACTCACACTCAGCAGCGAGCACACAGCCCTGGCCCTCTTAAAAAAAATCAATGCCTTATACTGTGCAGGGAGGTGGGATTCTCATCTTGTTAATTCACGCTCTTCAAGGACACAAGGCCCAGCAAATGGCAGGACATGAACAAGAAGAAAAGGTTATTCAGAGCTTGGCTAGGAACCTAGGAACTTGGAATCCAATCTTGTACGCTTCTCAGCAACTTCATGGCGGGGCTGGGAATGCTGCCCAAAACCTCCCTGCACACACAACCATGACTGAGGGGCGTGGGAGCAGCACTTGCTGGATGTCACCACCAGGAAAGGGAATCTTTTAGCTACAAGTCTAGACACTTTTTTGCACATCCACACTCACCAGCTGTTCCAACCTCTGCTGCAGGTGCCGATAATCCCTCTGCCTGACCTTCATTTGGATTATCACATCACATTGATTACTAATTACACTAACTGTACAGGTGACATCACATTGATTACTAATCACACTAACTGTACAGGTGACTAATTATTCTACTAATAATTTAAACTAGTATGTTACCCAATATTTTCAATGTTGTCCTACTTGACCTTCTGTGCTACTATGTTAGTGATAATTTTTTCTAAGAATGTCATAGTTTTCACTTTAACTGATTTTAAAATATTTACTACTAATTCCTGCAAGTAATTTTAACATAACCAGATGCCATTAATTTCTGAGCAAAATACATTTCTAATTTCATTAAAAAAAAATCCCTGGGAGAGAAGGCTCACTCAGAAGTGCTCCTGAGAACAGGCCAGAGGGGCCATCTTTTCTGGTCCTTGGCCATGGCTGCACCACAAGGCTCCCTCTGCTGGCACTTCTGAGCCACTTTCCCTTGTGGACAAGGAGGGAACCTTAAGGACAGTGGCAAGAGCCACTCAGAGAACAAGAGCATGTGGGGCAGATGGCACCGGCTGACAACACAAGGACACACCGCTGCACAGGCTGGCAACAGTGCTCACAGCTGCCCTGGCCACAGGCACCGCAGGAAGGCTGGCTGCACTTCATCTCTGAGTGACCCTAACACACATGTCATCAGTGTCTGCTGAGTGCCTAGCATGGCGTCATCATGGGGGCATGAAATGCTTACACATCTGCCACCTGACTAGAGTGACCCCACCTGTGACACACATCTGCGGGGTCTTGGTGCCTTCTGGGCACATGGACACAACACCATACTGATTTGCATACCGGATTCCCTTGCATCTGCCATCAGACCCTGCTTCTGAAACAGCTTGAATGACAACTGTCCAATCCACTCATTTTCTGCATTAATGACTTTTTGAATTTCTTGTCTCTCCTTTTCTGTGGCTGGAGGAAGTTCTTCTATTTTTTCTTTTGGTTCTAGCTTATTAGCACTATAGTCATCCTCTCCATCACAAACCTCAAAGTCCTCTTCATAGTCCTACAAAAAATAACAACACCTTGGAAATGTTAGGGCAAAGTTCCTTCAAAGAATACTCATACAAATCATAATTTAAAATAGACAAAGTCCTCACTGTGGCTAAGAAAGTTTTTTATAGCTTATTGATTTCAATGGCACTGAATTATAAATCTGTGTACTCACTTTTTTCTTTAAAAAGGAATCACACTATGTAGAAACATGTATACTAAGAGCTCTTAGTAATGATAATATGCAATTTTGTGCTGAGAGTGTGAGTGTCTGTGCATACAAATATATAAAGTATGTATGTACTCTACATGCACACACACAATATATATACTCTGCATGCACAAAACATATACCCTATAAATATACATACACACATGCACACACTATACATATACTATATATACACACATGCACACTCTATATACATCCTCTATACACACACACTATATATGTTCTATATACATACATATACACATGTGAATACACACTATATATATGCTATATACACACATGAACATATACTATATATGCTCTATATACATACATATACACATGCACACACTATATATACACATTCTCTATATACATACATACACACACTATACTCTAAAAACACACACATGCATATACATACTATACATGTTCTATATACATACATATATACACATGCACACACATAATACTCATACTCTACATATAAACACACATATATACTATACACACATACACATGCAAACACATGTGTATACATGCATATGCACATGTGTATGCACATACACATGTATATATTCATATGTATGTTTGAATGCAGTACACTTGAAAATGGGTTAAATTGTAAAATTATTTAATTACATCATATTGGTAAGAGTTGACAGGTGTGGCAAACGTTTCAGAGGCAAAAGGCCTGTATCAAACAGATATGGGGTATGAAGAGTAACAATAAAGAGAAATAAACTACTAAGTTACTATGCTCAAGTCGATTTTTAAGAACAAATTATTTTTAAACCAAGAAAAATTTTAACTTTTATACATACTTCAAAATCATCTTCAAAACTAGCTGTCTATCCATCAGCTACAGCATTTTCTAAATGAATGTTGTCCTTTTCAATTTCCTAGAGATAAAAATCAAGCATATAACAAAAATTCAATTATAAATTTGAATCTTGCAAATGGGTTGGGAAAGTATGTTTTCTGAGATTCATTTGATGTTGCTAATTTAAAAATGTTAAGTATTTACAAAACTAACATAACCTGATTTCAAATTATTTAAGAAACACCTTGCTAACTTACAAATATGATCAAAAAGAGAAAACAGTTAATAAACACATCCTTTTTGAAAAACCTCTATAATTCTGATAACTGAAGAAAAAATTTATTTATGTAAATAAATAAAATACAAATAAATGGCAAATAAATGATTTCTATGAACTAATTCCAAACTTCCAGCATGCCTCTCTGGCTTCCTTTCTTGCCCGTGAACAAATCCCCACATCCACACTGTCAAGAACAGACACACAGATGTGTGCTAAAGCGGACGCCAGCACAGGGCTGTCTGAACTGCTCCAGTGACTGAAAAGCTCATGTGTGAAGTCCTCACATTCCCATCCTTGTCACTTAGAGCAAGACGGGCTGCTCAGATCTGGGCCTGCCCCTGGGCATCAGGGTGCACCTGGCTCATCGCTGATCCACTCCCAGCCTCAGTGTCAGCACCTGTGGTCTCGGATAAAGGAGGGGCTCAGTGAGCCTGCAGGGAAGGCAGACTTAGGGGTGCTCTGGAGGTGTGGGGTGGCTGCACAGGTCACCCTGAGGCTGCCTTGGTCTGTGTCTTCATGATGAGTAAAAGGTGACCAGGAAAACCAAGGAGAAATACATTCCAGGTTTCCAGGCAAAGAGGGCAGCAGAAACCAAGTATGTTAAGAAAACTTGTATTTTGCACAAAAAGCTGCCCCTCCTCTTACCTACATCTATGCTTCCACATCCTACTTAAAGGCAATGTGGCACCTCCATGTCTCACCAGCACATGTCAGGAGTCCTCCCGCTTCCCGCTCCCCACATGGGCTTAGTACTGCAGCCTCTCACCAGGCCTGCCCTCCCCTCTACCCACCATCCCCATACGGCCTCTCTCCTTCACTTGGGGTCAAAGACGTCCTTCAGAAAGAAGCCTCACCCACTTTCAGCCTAAGCAGCTCCCTACCCATGTGGACAGCCCGAATGCACCCTGGTTTGCTCGGTTTTTATCCTGGACGAGGGGTGAACCAAACACATGTGAATGGACCTTCTGGTACCACAGGCAGGATGGATTTGGCCGGGCCAGTGGAGCAGCCACTGCAACACCCAGGGGAGCGAGGCTGATGGGGCTTCGGGGTCGGAAGGAAATGAGTCCCTGGTTTCTAGGGTCATAACTAGGTAGATGTCAGTGCGGGGACCAACACAGGGACAGGGAGGTGAGCCAGGTGGGCAGGGCTGGAGGGCTCAGCTGTGACGTGTGAGAGGGAAGTGGGAGAGGCACACCCAGGAGAGGCAGGGCTGGGCAAGAGGCCGGAGCCTTAAGCCCACCATCTTCCATCTCGAGACCCCTGTGACCAGCTGTGCGGCAAAGTGCCGCAGAATCAAGGAGGTCTGCCGCACAGAAGGCGGGGTGCTCTTCACAAGACAGTCAGTGCTGACTTTCCAGGTGGCAGCGTGGTCCTGCACGACCACAGGACTGAGGGGACCACCAGGGACATTTCACCACCTGGGGGCCAGGGAATTATTTTGAGCAAATCCTTTATGGTTAAAACTGCCCTGTAAAATGGTCCTTTTGGCACAGTTATATAAAGTCACCATGCAATACAGTGAGGGCCACATACTGCACGTGCTGCACCAGTCAGGAGGGCGCCTGCCAACTGACAGGAGAAACAGCTCAAACACCACACGGGAGTTTTAGACTCATTGCCGACTACTGCCCAAGCCCCTCCATCCCAGACAGCATCCATGCAGCAAATGAGGCACCCAGGGGCATGCCAGGCTCTGTGCCGGGGGCAGGGGGAGTGGCGAGCTGGCATGTCCTAGCAGCAGGAACTGGCTGTGGATGATGGCAGGAAGGTGGCATTGGCACGACTTTGGGAGGAGTGCCACCATGACCAGCAGTCCTCCTACAAGAGCACAGGCCCACTTCCTTGAGCTCTGCAGTTTGGCATGCATTTCTGAAAGTTACCATTACCTGGACTATTTCACACTGACAATGGCCTGAATCACATCTGTTTAGTTTCTTGCATTCTCATAACCTTCTTCAATTTAAATGCAAAGCAACACCTGAGAAGGCTGGCCAGTCACTCGGTCTGACCCTTGTCCCTGCAAAGCCCTCTGAAAATGCTCCCCTCTGTCCATACACAGTAGGGCCATGGCTTCTGACAACCTAGACGGCCTTCACAGCCAAGGAATCCTGAACAAGTGCCAACAGGGTTCCATTAAAAATCTGCCCCTCCCTCCATACTAAGTCCTGTTGTCCAGAAGAAGTATGCTGGACAGTATGAGGACAGCACAGAAGCACGAGTCAAAACGTTTATCTGGAGGGGACGCCAAAGTTAAAGGCTCTACCTTGTATCTGCGCCTCTGAGCTGGCTTCTGCCAGGAGCCCGTCTGGAGGGCAGAGCAAGCCTCAGCCAGCAGAGGGAGTATCTCCAGGGTGGCCAGAGCCCATCTGCTCCCCACAGGCAGGTGCTGCCCTTGGTGGCAAGAGACTCAAACCCCAGCCTGATGTACTTGGGGTGACTTAGGATGAGTAACGTTAACTCAGAGAAGTAGGCAAACAGCGGTACAGGTTCCCCTCTCACTACAGGGGCCAAGGTCCCAGACTCCAGTGGGTGTCTGAACCAAGGACAGTCCCAAAGCCGACGTGTACTATTGTTTCCTATGTATAAATGATTATAGGCCTGGAAAGTTTAATTTATAAATGAGGCAGTGAGAGATGAACAGTAACTAATAATAAAGTGGCACAATTATAAAATATGCTGTAATAATAGTGATGTGAATATGGTCTGTCCCTCTAAACATCTCCCTGTGCTGCATCACACTTCTTGTGAGGATGCGAGGTGGTGAAGGCCCACGTGATGAGATGTAGCAAGGGGAGGACATGAGCGCAGTGCCACTGTGTCAGGCTGCTGCAGACCTTTCAACCTACGGCCACAGGTCGGCTTCCAGACCATGGCTGACATGAGAACTGAAACCATGGATAAGGCGGGGATGACTATACCTCCTTCCAGTGCCAGCGAGCAGAGGCTGAAATGACCCGCACCAGGAGGGAAGAGCTGGTGGCCAGACCTGCTGGGTCACTGGCACCAGGAAGGCAGGACCCAGACATCACTACCCACAGCTACTCAGTGCATAATATGGAAATGGCATGGTGCATTGCCACAAAGAAAATATGAAGCCTTCCTTCCATGTGTCCAGAAAACTAATCTTATTGTATCCATAAATACTGAAGAATTAAACCAAGATAAATTCAGTGTTGATGTTATAAAACATGGCCTCATCAAAGCCAAGCAAGCTGTTGATATCTTCAAGATCACTTCTGGGATCTTTCAGCAAAAACATGTCACATATTTTGTTCCTCTAGTGAAAAAAATAATGTAAAATGTCTCACTGATAATTCCTTTTAATGATTACATGTTGAAAGGATATTTCAGAAATACTGGGTTATATATGTTATTAAAATTAATCATTTCTTTTTTACATTTTTAATGTGACTGCTAAAAAATTAAAAATTACAAATGAGGCACACATTAAAATTCTAGTGAGCAATGTTACTCTAGAACTTACCAAAAAATTGGGAGACATAAGGAAAACATTTTAATAAATTCAGTAGCTCACTTCAAGACATTGAGCCACAGAAAGCTGAGTGAGATCTGCCCTGGAGCTGGGGGTCTCCATGATGAAGGGGAAAAGGCAGCCAGAATCCCTCAATATGCACCTCAGTGCAGTGCTGAGGAACAGCGCACAGAGCAAAAGATTATCCGGAAATGCATGTACCTCCCCAGACAAGCTCTGGCCAATCAGAGGTGCCAGTCTCTGCCCCCAAGGGCCTGCCCTTTGCTTAGCTTCCACATGAGGGAACAACACAAAAAAGGGGAGAAAGGAACTGCTTCACTTCAGAGTCTGGAAAAACACCACAGCAGAAAGTGTATACGAGAACCAAAGATACTAAAATCAGTATAGGAGAATATTAAGCAATTATAGTAATCACGTAAGTATACATGGAGGAAAATTAAATCAATAGTTTAAATTTTGTGTTCTTTTTTTTGCAAACATACTACCGATTCTGGTGAACATTTTACTGAATTATTTACTTAATTTCCTCTTGTAAAAATGTCAGCTTCCTTTTTAATGTTAAATTTAAAATTTTATATAGATTTCTGAATATGTTGCAAGTGCATCTGTAATATCATTACACCCTTAGACTGCCTATTCCCTAGGTTAGTAATTATCCCATATTGATTTCATGTACAGCTGACCCTTGATCAACACAGGAGTTATGGGCACTGAGCGCCCCACCCCAGTTAAAAATCCGTGTATAAGTGGACCCATACAGTTCAAACTGGTGCTGCTCAAAGGTCAACAGTACAGACTTGAGTCACATTTTTACCAAGGTCACTACTTTTAGGTGACAAGTCTGATCATTTGGCTGCATGAAGATGACCTCTGGGTCTCAGGGTGACCACAAAGGCAGTGATCATCAGAAAACAGTGCCTTGGGCTCCCTGTCCTGTGTTCCTCTCCCAAGGGCCTGTCTCCTGTCCATGTGGCCCCGGTGACTCTCATCACCCAAGTGGAAGCGTTCCTTGTGGCGTTTCTCTCTACTCTGCTCTGCTGCTTCCTTGTCAGGGAATGAATTGCTTTTTCCTTTTGGATACTTTTCTCTTCTTTCCCTTGTGCTGCTTTTTTCTTGATGCTTCTTTTCTTGATCTGGCTCTTTCTGCTTCCTATGTGTTCTCTCACCTTCTTCCTTATAAAGCCAGTACTTAAGAGGGTTGTCTTCACTGTCACCACACTGCGGCTGTGGACATGACACAGGGACAAGCACATGAGCACACAGGCAGGCATGCAGTGCTTCACATGTGTTGCAGTGATGGTGAGGACCAGCACTGCCCCTCCTTCCTCCATCCTGCTGCAGCTCCTTCCCAAAAGCTTGCTCTGCTGATGCACAGAAGCCCACTGCCCCCTGCAGATGCTGCACTCACCCCACCCCACCACACAGCAGCGACTCTGCCAGGCACCGTCGCCCAAATGGGGGACAGTATCCAGATTCCTCACATGGCACATGGGACTCTGCATGGCTCACCCTGCCCCATGGCCTGGTCCCCAACTCCTGGACTCCACAGCCCACACACCCCTCCTGGGGAGCCCAGGGACCTCTCCAGAGGACATGCTTCGTGAGCAGCATGTCCCTCCAACCTCTCTGCTGAGAAGCTCCACCTCTGCTTCCTGCCCACAGGGAGATGCTCAAACCAGGCACCATCATTTAGTAGTGTCTGAACCCCAAAACCAGTATGAGTGCCAGGTATTAACTGGAGAGGTCTATAGTAGGGCCACGGTCGCCTGTGCAACACCTGGCTCAGACCCAGTCCTGCCCAGCAGAACCCCAAACCACACTGTGCTGCCCACCACTCAGGATTCCTCCACTCACACCCAGGCAGCCACTCCCACTCCAGCCGGAGGTCCCTGCTAGGTTCAGTGCACCCTGGTCCCCATTCCTGCCACCCAACTCCCACCCGCTCTGCTCAGCTGCCAGGGTGATCTTCCTACAGAAAACATGGTGCCAAGCCCCTGACAAAATTCCTCGACTGTTAAGTGAGATTACCAACACAAGCCTGTCACCAAAATAAATTCTGTGGAGGTTAAAGATTTAAGTGGTAAAAAAATGATAAGTACTCAGAACAAAACACCGGTGACTGTTTACTTAACACTGGTGTGGGGAAAGGGCTGTGTATACATTACATCAGAAATAATGAAAGACAGACTTGGCTACTTCATAATTTTAAACATACTTACAAAAACAAAGATTCCACAAATAAAATTCAAAATGAAGAATGGCAGTAGGATGTGCAGCAGGGAGCTTACCTTTAAAGCACCCTTAAAATCAACAAGATGAGGTCCTAGGGCAGGAAGAAAACGTGCACCTGTGGTAACAGCAGGGCAGGAACCTCTACTAAATGCTCAGAAAGTCCTTTTCTTCTGAATGAAGTGAGCAGAGATTAGAAATTATAATGCCCAATTGCTTATTAGGACATGGAGAATCATACTGTAATGATATAAATAATTACAGCTTTCGTGGAAAGCAAGTTGGGTAAGTTTACATTCACCTTAAGCTGGCAAGTTCATTTCCAGAAATTAGTCATATGGAAATAATTATGATAAATACGAAACTTTATCCCATGGATGCCTTTATAATAAAAAAATTCAGAAGCAACCTAAGCATCCAAAAAAAGCAGATGTGTCAAGAAAACCATGATACATCCATATCATTGAATATTATAATTATGCAGCCACAAGAATAATATTATAGAGAAATATGATGACTTGGAAGAATGCTTAAAATGTACTCAGTTTAAAGTTCATAAAACAGCAAAAATCTAATTTAAGAAAAATGGTGTATGTGTACATAGACATATACATACTTAGAAATATATATACATGAACCTGCTAGGATATATACCTACACATTATCAGTAATTGTCTCTGGGCTGGGATTAATTTTTCTTTCTTATCATTATTTCCCAAATTTTCCAAAATAGCAAAGTATTGCTCTTGAAATCACAGAAAAACACTTGACTAAGGAGAAATAACTGAGTGCCATGGGGCCAAGAGCTTTTTGGGCCTGGAATTCTGTTTTACAAAGCATGCCAGCCCTCCACAGAGAACGTGTGCAGCTCCACCCAGCAGCCCCGAGAGACCCCTGCCCGGCCCACGGCCCACCCTCCTCTCCTGGGGTCTCCACTCTCTCTCTCTGTCTCCTCTTTTGGAGTCTTCCTCTACGTTCTCCTTCTCTTCAGTTCATACTTTACTGACTACAAAAATAAAACGTATTTTTAACATTCACAAATGAGCACATCAAAAAGATCTTCTGACCTCTTCTGGTCTTTACTGTATGTAACGCATTAGTACACAGTATATATTAACACATATGAAAGATATTCTTCAATTAGAACACATCCTCCAATCCCAAGAATGTGAAGTTCTAGAATCTAACCCTAAAATGGAGTGAAGAGGGACATCAATGGCAACTGCCACTGAGGCAACCCAGAAAATGTCAGACTGACCCCTGGAAACTCAAGAGGCGCCCCAGACAGAACAAAAGGCCATCGGAGCTCACTGAGCTGGCAGAGGCACTGGGAAGCAGGGCCCCATCTCTGAGAAGAGCCTGCCCAGCTGAGCAGATGTTTCTGCCAAGGGTACAGCTACAAAGAATTCTGTAAATGTCACCTCAGGGATGAACTTCAGAACCACGCCAGGTGCCCAACCCCTTGCCTCTGGAGCCCACTGCTGAGGTTCCCAATGGTGGAAACTAGGCCTGTACTTTCAAATATGCAAAAAAAGTCATTAGGCTTAAACTGAGAGAATCAATATTTTTAAAGATGAGAACAAAATTAAACATTCAGAGATCACTGAAACAAACTTCATCCATTCAAAAAGCGTTGACTGAGCATTGACCACTCTTCTAATAGCCAGGAGTACCAGGGATCAAAAAATGGGGTGGAGAGACAGAATAGGGTTGGGGTGATTCCCAGGTTTTTCCACCTGAGGAAGGGAAGGGCGCGGGTGCCGTCTGCTGAGACGGGGAAGGCTGTGAGAAGCAGGTGTCTTGGAGCTCCTAGAAGTTCAGCTTGAAGGGCATTAAGTTTGCAACATTATCAGAGAGCAAGTACAGGAGGACATACAAGCCCAGATAGGGATGAGGCCCAGCTGGGAATCAAAACTTGGAAATCAGGAACAGATAATGGTATTTAAAACCATGAGACTGGACACATTCACCAAGGCAGAGAGCAGCTACAGAGGTGGTGCGGAACAGGGACCTATTTTACAGAAGGGGAGATGCAGAGGGGATGAGGGAGACACAAGAACAGCCAGGAAGGAGGAAGGGATGTCAGGGTCTAAGTGCACGATCTTCCCAGTGCGTCCCTCTCGATAGTGCATGGGAGAAACAAGATCAGGAGGTGATCGGAAAATAATGTTCTGAGGACAAACTAGATTCCATTGGAAATAAATATGAAGAACCCCAAAATAATGACCCTAAAAAGAGGCAATGGACAGTAAGGTAGCTGCTGTTAGACTTAATGAGTGGCAGGTAACCTGCTAACCAGCAGTTAAAATACACCCCACCCGACAGAAACACAAGGCGACACTCCCAGCCTCCCCGTGGGCTGTCTGCAGAGGCGTGCGAGCCCCAGCAGCAGGAGGGAGTGGTGGGCGCCAAGGAACGGCCCCGCCCACATCCAGGCCCTCCTGGCTCCCCAGGACTCCAAGAGCTGCTACAATTTCTTCTCCTATATTCCTTTTCTTTTGAAGTTGGCTAGTTCACATTTTTTGTAAGAAGAATATACTATTTGTATAATAATAAAATAATAAGATATTTCCATTATGGGGGGGAAAGATATGCACCTTTACCTTAGAGTTCCTAAGAATTTAGATAAATAATAATTAAATAGTGCTGAAATAAAAATGGTACTTCTGATGAATTCTTTTTATCAAAGAGCATTATTTTTATTTACACTGTGGGTTGACATTTATTGATAATAAAACTGAAATGTTTCAATAGCAAAACTCTAGTAAATAAGGAGAAATGTTACTGCTTTCATTGAATGAAGTGAGTTTTTAAAATAGCAAAAAGAAAACAACAGTGAAACTCAAAAGGTCCACAGCTTCAAACTCAGAACTTGGACATTTATGAAAAGCACCAGAGAAAACAAAACAAAACGAGTGAACATTAGAAAAGAGGAAGTGCCCCCCAACTGTGAGCCCTTTACTTCATGGGAAAATGCAGAGGATGACATGCACGAGCTGCACACCGCCTGCCAGCACCTAGGTCCCCCCAGGACACTCCCGTGGCCCCCTAGGACAGGCCCCTGTCCCACCCCAGGCCCTGCTGCGCACTCATCTGACTGCACCCTGTGCTCTGCTCTCTCCAGGAGCTGCGGCCTGCAGGCTATGGGGGGCAGCCGTCTGCCGTAGCTCCGCTCTTCGGGCCCAGGGCTCCTTGCCTCTGTCCCTCTTTTCCTCAGCTCTGGGGCTTTTCTGCATCCTGCTTCCGGGACTTCTCTCTCAGCTTCTCTCTGCTCCTCCCAGGTGTCCTTTCTCCTCTCCCGTTGCTTGTCCCTGTGCCCCTCGCCACGAGCCTGCTCCCTGGCACCATGGCCTTCCTGCCCAGCCGTCCCCTCCTGGGGCTTGTGCTCTCTTCCCCCCAGGGGAGTCTGCTCCTGACTCCTTGGACAGCTTCCATTCCCCGTACTCCTCCTCTGTGGGACCACCTGGTGGTGTGCTCTGAGCAGGAAACAGGCCCTAACAGTCACACCCAGGGACAGCCCCCCCAACCGTGTGCCAGCCAAGCAAGGCGGACCTGGACCAAGCCTTTCAGAATCGACAGAAAGGGGGTCAGATGTAGCATTTCTATGGCTGACCATGGCACCCACTTAGCAGACTCTCATGCCTGTTGGCAAATCAAATCTAAAATTCCACACTGGTTAAAGGGTGGGTACACTGGGCTGGGCTTTAAATCTGAGACATGAACTGCCTGGGTCCCACTCAAGGAGACCCTCTTTATAAAACTCTCAGGAAGCCTCCATCCCAACCACAAGCCCCCTCCACACATGCGCACACACACACGACCACACAGACAAATGTACTCACACACATACACACAGAGACCACACACAAATGTACATACCATGCATACATACATACACACACAAATGCATATACATACATGGAAACCACACAAATGCACATACCACACATGTATACATACACACAGAGAATATACACACTACATACATGCATGTACACATACACAGACCAGATAAATGCACACACTACACATGTATGTGCATGTGCAAGCACTTACCACGCATGCATGCACATCTGCACACAGACACACACATACACAGAGGCACACACTCTCTCTTACACACACAAACACACACATACAGCCCAAATTCTGAACCATGACAGAAACCTGATCATGAAGGTGGGATGCAGGCTGGGCTGGGAAACCTGGTCCCACCACTTCCAGGGCTTTGTCTCTGAAATGGGCCACATGCAGGTGCAGCTGTGCAGCGCAATGTGGGTACGACCACCCGAGAAGCCAGCCCGGCCCTAGAGACCCCAGCTCAGTTCTGTGAGCACATTACCCAACGGTGTCTTCTCAGGTCATCTGCTTTCCAAGTGTCATCTTTGGGTTTTCTCTAAAAAGAAAAACAAAAAGAACTTCTGTTTTTACATTTGCTATTTTTAATTTATTTAAGCAACACAGAAAAAAGTTCATCAAGTTAGAAATTTTATGGCTTTAAAAAATTAACTTTGTATACTCTAGTGAGCTGCTTTTTCTTTAGGCCATTTAAGTCAACAGCAATTAGTCCTTGATATGCAAGAAGTTACTGTCTGTCTACTGGAATGAAAGGTAAGAGAAATACAGATTTTCAGAAATCATTCAGTAGTCTAAAATCACTGATAAACAATTATAAAGGTGTTCCTTTGGCTGCTTCACAAGATAAATTCCCTGCTGCTTTAAGACTTGGGCACAGACCACACTCATCCCTCACCTTCCTCATAAAAACCCAGGACCCCTCCCTGGGCCAAGCCTGAGCCAAACACAGCGATGATGAAGGAGAGTGATTCCCAAGCCTTGGGGTCCCCTCTGTGCCCCTCACCTGACCCGATGTGGGGTCTCTCTGCCCAGAATCTCAGTCCCACAAACCCTGGCTGGGCTCTCCCGGGGGGCCCCTGGAGGAGCAGGGGAGCTGCACGCAGAGGCAGGACGCGGCTCCAGGGGACAATGCAGCACCAGCGTCTGCACCCATTTGACTCCTCCACCCTGGCCCACATGGGGGTGGGGGGTCCTGACAGGCACGGGGCAGGGCGGTCCATGGTCCCTGCATCAGGGCTCCCGGAGCAGGACTCACCTCCAGGGGCGGCCCTGTAGCTGGCCCACTGTGTGCGCTGCATGTGGCGCAAAGTTGACATCGCTCCAGCTTTCCCATGGGGACCGGCCAGGGTGGCGGGCTGTAGGCTGGAGCAGAGCACACAGTGGGCCATCCTGGACTGCGCCCTCATTCTGGACAGGTCACTTCCAGCCCGTTGTGTGACAGATCCTGTGTGATGGCCTCTTCCCTCTCTGAGGCCCTGGCTGGGCAGCGCTGGGAGCCAGGCGAACATTGCTGTGGGACCCCAGGCCTGTCCCTTGCCCTTTAGTGTCCCCTGGGAGCCTTCCTTGGGCCATGTGTGGAAGTAAAGGTCACAGACCCTGAGTCAGTCTAAAGGACCCCAGCCCTGTGCAGGTTTATTCAATATACTGTGGGAAAGTCAAGCTCCCCTGCCTGTGTGAGCCCGGCCCCCTGTCACAGATCCCCGTGGCAGCTCTTGGGCTCCAGACCAGATAAATGGGCTCCGTGGGCTGGTGTGGGTGGAGGCTCTGGGGCGGACTACCATGCGGGAGCCATGGGCCCCAAGCTGTTCCTCCCCTCTGGGCTTGTGAGGGCAATGGGTCTCCAGGGCTCCTTGGTCCCTGCACAGTTGGGGGGTGCACCGTGCCATTTTGCCTCCATCCTCCCCTGTCCCCCAAAGGTTCAGGGTCCACCTTCAGATGGTGACTGTGCACAGGTCACACCAGCCTTGATCCCTGATTCCCCAGAAGGGAAGGTGTGGACCAGCTCCTCAAGACCACTGTGCACCCTACTCGTGCACCCTCAGAGCCCGGAGTGCATCCTCTTTCTGCTGCTCCTGAGTGGGAGAAAGGTGGAGGGAGGGGAATGCTGAGCTAGAGGGAGCCCAGCCCACAGCAGCCTCGGCTTCATCAGGACAACAGGGGCTGCCTGGGCAGGTGTCAGCTACTCCCCACAGAGGGGTCTGGGTGGGGAAGGTTTCCTGCGCCTCTGCTCTCGGGCAGGCACTGCCCTGGGCACCCCTTGGCACTCTGACAGGAACTTGTCGGGTACTTTCTGAAGCCTATGGGGAATTTCAGCTTCTGTAAATAGCTCCCTCACAACTGCACAAGTTCAAGGTAGAGAGCAAGCAGTGGGCCAGCTGAGCCAGATCCTGGGGTTCGGGGGCACCTTACAGGTTTTCCTCATCTTGACAAGTCCAGAGTGCTTTTGTTTGCTTTGTAATGAGGCTCTCATGGAAACCTAAGGTGCATCGAGGGCAAGGGGTGCAGGTGGGCATGCCACACCACAGGCATCCTCAACCTCCCTTTCCATCTCTCAGGAAGCCATGGTGGGGACGTGGGAAGAGCGGACCCTGACTCCTTCCCTTCCCCCAGCAGGACACAGACAGAAGCCACCACCTCTCATGAGGAAAAGCATGTATTTTGGGAAATGATGGAAGTTGAGGTAGGAAGAATTCATCAGCAACTAGAAGATGTGCTGATGTGAGAAAAAAGTTTTTCTGCAGCCTATGGGTCTTTTCTTGAAGAAAAGTTGTCCGCCCAGGAAACACAAGTGAATCCTGCACTAGCTGAACAGGTGACACATAATTCTGAATCACACACAGCCTTGGGCAGTGGTGGGTACAGGCTGAGGCACCTGCCGCCCTTGGCCCGTGCTGGCTGGGCCTGGCTGGGCACCCCAGCTCACGGGGTGGGAAGGCCCTGTTGCCGTCCTTGTCTCTGGCCAGCCTGCTCTTGCCAGGACTGCTGTGGCCCTTCAGGGTGGCCTGGAGATTGCAGGCTTCCTCTCTCGTCACTCTCCCTTGCTCTTCACAGGAGAGAAGCTTGTGGTACAAGAAGTCTGTGGCACCATTTTCTCCTGCTGGAGCCTGGAATTGCCCTTTGTGCCAATTTAACTCCGAGGGAGGACGTCCATGTTGAAGTGTGATTCTCTCCTCTGGGATCTGCCCCATGGCTGTCGCGATCCCCTGAGCCCCGGCAGCCCTGCTGTCTGGAACAGATCTGCTGTTGTGTTGTCCCTGGCTCTGGGCAGTGGCTGACGGAGGCCTGCCTTTTTGCTGGGGAACTTTACTGGAGAAAATCCCCTGCAGAAAGTGCTGTCTCTCTTTTGTGAAGTGGCTTTCTGGAGGAGCCTGTTCCTCCTTCTGTCCGAGCTGGCAGGACTTGCTTCTTAAGGACTCTACTGTTTCCTTATCCTTATTTAACATCCCATTGTCCTGGGAGGCCCTCGGTTCTGCTAATTCTCTTCCATGCTCTCCTTGGTTGGACCTCCTACAGGCCTTTTCCTCACCAGCAGGGACAAACATCTTGCTCTGGCTCTTGTCTTGCTCCGCCGGTCTCCAGGACCCATTCAGCCCCCAGCTGCTCTGCTGTGGGGCCCATCCACTGAACATGACGTCACCTGACACGTGCACAGCTGACATGTCCCCACTGGACATGCTCTGGGAGCCGCACAGAGATATCTGAGAAGCCGAGCTGTCTGCAAGAAACGCCGGTGAGTGGCGGTGCTGAAGGAGCGCGTGAGCATCGCAGTCCTGAAGAAGCTCCCCGGGGCCGCTGTCCGGAGGCCGCTTCCCAGACTCCACCTTCTCGTGGAGCCCAGAGTCTCTGTGTTGTGCATCAAGGCATGGCTCTTCCAGATCCTGAATCACAGGTTTTACACTTGGCAGTGTTGGGGTTTTACTTGTCCCTGTAGTCCCTGAGCTCCTCAGATCCACCCTGGTCATTTGGGAGTGGGCCGGCACACTGGATTCCAAGGTGGCTTTCCAAGCAGAGGCCTCCTCAGCCTCCACTGACCCCCCCATCCTCATCAGCACTTGAGGACCAGGACCCAGTGCTGCCCTCCCATGCTGTGACCCTGTAGTGGGAATCTCCTGCAGCCCTGCCTCCGCTCTCCCCACTTGGCTCATTCCTGGCCGTGGCTGCACCTGGGCTCAGCTCCAGGCTGGCTCTGTGGTCCCCCATGGCCATCTCACTGTGCAGATTCTGCCCACAAACACACACATGGAGGTCTGAGCAGGCGGCCTGCTCCCCTGCGTGGTCAGAGGGGCCTCCAAGGATGCGTGGCCATTGTCAGGTGGGGTCTCTCCCAGGGCCTTCTGGATCCCCTCATTCATAGGTGAGGGGGTGGGGAGGGGACTCAGTGAGCTGGGAATCGCCTCTTTCTTTATTGCCTTCTCTCCCAGGGGAGGCTGAGGTTTTCCAAGAGCTGGGAAAATTTATTTAGCTGGGCCCCAGGTACACAGGTAGCTGAGCAGGTACAGGGGGAGCAGAGAAGGAGTGAGGGTTGAGCCTTTTTCAGCTCAAACAGGTTTATGACCTTAAGGATCTTGAGGGGTGGGTGCCACCTGTGCCTCGCCTGAAGCCTTGTAATATCTGTCCCCAGATTCTCTTGTGTAGGTGGACTGAAGATGACAAACCCGTGGGAAGTGTTCGTGTCGGGTCCCTGACCCTTGGAGGGTGCTGGATTCCTGGCTTCCCTGTGAGTGAGTGATTCTGCAGAAGAGTCCAAGGTCTGGCTGACAGCAAACCTGAAAGGATGAACACCCCCAGGAGTCTGACCCTCACTGCTCTGCCCCTACTTTCTGCCCACATGGGCACTCAGGATCTTTTCTGGACACATCTTGTCCAGGCCCCTTGTGGAGGAGCTCATCAAGCCTCTTTCTGGCTCCACAGAGTTCAGTCCTGGAACCTTCACTGGGGAGCTGGCTGAGCCCCCACACAGCTCTTGTAGGATCCTCCCCATGCTGTGCCCCATATCCTCACACAGATCTTTCTCTGTCAGGGTCCTTGATGGGCACCTGCACTGGATCTTCTGTGCAGCCCGGCTGCTCTGGCCTGTCCATGCAGAAGGCTGTGGGGGCCCCTGCTTGCTCTGTGCCTCATACACCCCTGGGAATTTGCCCTGACACTGCATCATATCCAGAGACAAGTGGGTCTTGAGGGGCAGGCCACCCTGGGGCTTTGTGTGCTTCTCCCAAAGGCATTGTTCCAGTTTTTCCCAGAGCTCAGGGCTGATCAGTTCTCCAGGAAGTACAGGGACTGACCTGTGGACCTGGGTTCCCTTGCTGTCCTGCGGAAGGTTGGGAGTCACTTGGCTAAAGACCTGAGCTTTTCTAACCACAGAAGGTGAGGTCTTTTGCCCTTTTTCTAGCTGCTTCTTCTTTCAAAGCATGACATTCCAGATTTTGCTGGGATGGGGCCACACGCTGAGGCAGGGCCTGGGTTGGTAAAATGTCTGCACCCTCCTGGGCCTTGTAGGTCCTTCTTTCCCACTCTATTCACTCTGTCAGAGAGACCTTAGCCAATTTTCCATTCATCCAGATGTTCCAATGATCCAGATCATTGATACCTTAATAAACTCTTAAGAAGGTTTCATATGAGAAACAATGTGGTTACTACATTCACCCATGTTATCCAGTCCCCACCCCATACCCCATTGCAGCCACTGTCCATCAGTGTAGTAAGATGCCACAGAGTCACTACTTGTGTTCTCTGTGCTACACTGTGTTCCCCAGGATCCCCCCCACACCATGTGGACTAATCATAATACCCCTCAATCCAGTTTTCCTTTCCTCCCCCCACTCCCCTTTGCTATACACTAGTCCCTTCTTGGGTTCTGTAAGTCTGCTGCTGTTTTGTTCCTTCAGTTTTGCTTTGTTGTTATACTCCACATATGAGGGAAATCACTTGGTATTTGTCTTTCTCCTCCTGACTTATTTCGCTGAGCATAATACCCTCCAGCTCCATCCACATTGTTGCAAATGGTAGGATTTATTTCTAATGGCTGAATAGCATTCCATTATGTAAATGTATCACATATTCTTTATCCATTCATCTGCTGATGGACACTTGAGTTGCTTCCATATCTTGACTATTGTAAATAGTGCTGTAAATAAACATAGGGGTGCACATGTTTTTTTGAATCTGAGAACTTGTGTTTGTGTGAATTCCTATGAGTGGAATTCCCAGGTCAAATGGTATTTCTATTTTTAGCTTTTTGGGGAACCTCCATATTGATTCCCACAATGGTTGAACTAATTTACATTCTCACCAGCAGTGTAGGAGGGTTCCCCTTTCTCCGCATCTTCGCCAGCATTTGTTGTCCCTTGTTTTTTGGAAGTTGGCCATCCTAACTGTTGTGAGGTTATATCTCATTGTGGTTTTAATTTGCATTTTCCTAATAATTAGTGATGTGAAGCAGCATCTTTTCATGTGCCTGTTGACCATCTGAATTTCCTCTTCAGAGAAGTGTATGTTCATATCCTCTGCCCATTTTTTAATCGGGTTATTTGCTTTTTGGGTGTTGAGGCATGTGAACTCTTTATACATTTTGGATGTTAACTCCTGACCAGATAACTCATTTGAAAATATATTCTCCCATACTGTAGGATGCCTTTTTGCTCTGCTGAATGGTGTCCATTGCTGTACAGAAGCTTTTTAATTTGATGTAGTCCCATGAGTTCATTTTTGCTTTTGTTCCCTTTGCCTGAGGATATGTGTTCAGGAAAAAGTTTTATATTCAAGATATTTTTGCCTTTGTTTTCTTTTAAGAGTTTTATGGTTTCATGACTTACATTCAGGTCTTTGATTCATTTTAAGTTTACTTTTGTGTATGGGGTTAGACAATCTAGTTTCATTCTCTTGCATGTAGCTGTCCAGTTTTGCCAACACCAGCTGTTGAAGAGGCTGTCATTTCCCTATTGTATGTCCATGGCTCCTTTATCATATATTAATTGACCATATATGGTTGGGTGAATGTCTGGAGTCTCTATTCTGTTCCACTGGTCTGTGGGTCTGTTCTTGTGCCAGTACCAAATTGTCTTGATTACTATGGCTTTGTAGTAGAGCTTGAAGTTGGGGAGCATAATCCCCCCAACTTTATTGTTCCTTCTCAGGATTGCTTTGGCTATTTGGGGTCATTTCTGATTCCATATGAATTTTAGAATGATTTTTTCTAGTTCATTGAAGAATGCTGTTGGTATTTTGATAGGAATTGCATTGAGTCTAAAGATTGCTTTAGGTAGGATGGCCATTTTGACAAGATTAATTCTTCCTATCTATGAGCATGGGATGTGTTTCCATTTATTGCTATCTCCTTTAATTTCTCTCGTGAGTGTCTCGTAGTTTTCAGAGTATAGGTCTTTCACTTCCTTGGTTAGGTTTATTCCTAGGTATGTTATTCTTTTTGATGCACTTGTGAATGGAATTGTTTTTCTGATTTCTCTCTCTGCTAGATAATTGTTAGTGTATAGGAATGCCACAGATTTCTGCATGCTAATTTTGGATCCTTCAGATTTGCTGAATTCAGATATCAGATCTAGTAGTTTTATAGTGGATTCCTTAGGGTTTTTTAAGTACAATATCATGTTATCTGTGAACAGGAACAGTTTAACTTCTTCCTTGCCAATCTGGATGCCTTTTATTTCTTTGTGTTGTCTGATTGTCATGGCTAGGACCTCCAGTACTATGTTGAATAGAAGTGGGGAGAGTGGGCATCCTTGTCTTGTTCTCAATCTTAAAGGAAGTTCTTTCAGTTTCTCACTGTGAAGTACAATGTTGGCTGTGGGTTTGTCATGTATGACCTTTATTATGTTGAGGTACTTGACTTCTACACCCATTTTGTTGAGAGTTTTTGTCATGAATGGATGTTGAATATTGTCGAATGCTTTTCAGCGTCTATGGAGATGATCATGTGCTTTTGACCATTTTGTTGCTGTGGTGGATGATGATCAATTTTTGAATGTTGTACCAGCCTTGCATCCCTGGAATAAATCCTACTTGATCATTATTGATGATCTTTTTGACACATTTTTGAATTTGGTTTGCTAATATTTTGTTGAGTATTTTTGCATCTATGTTCATCATGGATAAAGGTCTGTAATTTTCCTTTTTTGTGGTGTCTTTGCCTGGTTTTGGTATTAGAGTGATGCTGGCCTCATAGAATGAGTTTGGAAGTATTCCCTCTTCTACTCTTTAGAAAACTTTAAGGAGGATAGGTATTAGATCCTCACTAATTGTTTGAAAGAATTCAGCAGTGAATCCATGTATGGTCTAGGAGTTTTGTTCTTAGGTAGGTTTTACTTTTTCTTTGTTTTGTTGTTTAATTTTGGTATCATTAATCTACAATTACATGAGGAACATTATGTTTACTAGACTTGCCCCATCATTAAGTCCCCCCAACATACCTCATTACAGTCTCTGTCCATCAGTGTAGTAAGATGCTATAGAATCAATACTTGTCTTTTCTGTGCTGTACAGCCCTCCCTGTGCCCCCCTCCCCTACATTATGTCTGCTAATAGTAATGCCCCTTTTCCCCCCCTTATCCCTCCCTTCCCAGCCATCCTCCATGGTCACTTTCCCTTTGGTAACTGTTTGTCCATTCTTGGATTCTGTGAGTCTCCCCGCTATTTTGTTCCTTCAGTTTTTTCTTTGTTTTATACTCTACAGATGAGTGAAATCATTTGATACTTGTCTTTCTCTTCTGGATTATGTCACTGAGCATAATACCCTCTAGCTTCATCCATGTTGTTGCAAATGGCAGGATTTGTTTTCTTCTTATGGCTGAATAATATTCCATTGTGTATATATACCACATCTTCTTTATCCATTCATCTACTGATGAACACTTAGGTTGCTTCCATTTCTTGGCTATTGTAAATAGCGCTGTGATAAACATAGGGGTGCATATGTCATTTTCAAACTGGGCTGCAGCATTCTTAGGATAAATTCCTAAGAGTGGAATTCCTGGGGCAAATGGTATTTCTATTTTTAGTTTTTTGAGGAAGCTCCATACTGCTTTCC